GGCCCCTTCTCCCCTCCCTCCCTCTCCCTCCCTCTCCCCCGGATTGGCTGAGGTGTGCGAGCTCTGCGATCTTGCATTTACTTGCAAATTCCATCCCTAGCCGCGACCACTTGCCCTTGGGTTGTGCCCACCACAGGCGTTTGTGGTCTCTGGTTGCGGTGGCTCTCTCGCTACATTTCCTCCTGCCTCAGCAGTCCGCCTGCTGTGTTGTTTCACCTGAAGACGATGGCTTGTGTTGCTATCGAAACGTCGTGATTTATTAGTTATTTTTTCTATCTACATGACTTTACCGAAAGAACCAAAGAGTATGAATTCCTGCAGTCACGAAAGCTTCAAATCCAGAATGGTTAGGAGCATTGGCGAAGTGGTTAGCACAGAGTAACCCGAGTTAGATTCGCAGCCACGTTAACATTAGCGGCGAGGGTTTTATAAACCAGTTGCGAGTGCCTTGTTCACCAACCCGACTTGACCAGCATGGTAATGGCAGATCAAACAACCTCCATGACCGACATAGAATGGGGGAATCTTTAATCTAGTAGTGGATTGCCAAGGGGTTGTAAATTATATATGATACAATTATTACTGATTGTAGCATACACGCAGCGCAAATGCAAACAAATGCAATTCCCCACATAAACGTGCAGGAGTTGTCAATACAGGAATGCGGCTAGAGCGTGTTAAACCCGATGGTAGGGCTGGAAGTGGGGATCGTTCGCATTCTAAATACGTCAAATGTCAACTGCACATCGCATTGCTCAATGGCAGAGCACCAGCTAAGCATGGGCCCAGAAGAGATGTGTCCTGAACGCGTGGACTCGTACGTCCTTCTGTCTCAGCCGCGGGTAGTGAAAGGTGCGATGGAACCAACGCACATGGCCTCACTCCCCCCCGGACCCCCGCAATGTCACCAGCGCTAACATGCCACATCCATCAGCCTTCCCATGGGCAGCGGGTGGCGAGGAGCTAGAGACCAGATCAAAGTGCCTTAATAAAACAGCTCTATTTTGTTGTAAAAGATTAACTGGAAACTGCTGCTTTTTAGAAAAATACAGCTGCGAATGTTCAACCTGGTCCATTTTTTTGAAAGTGACATGTTTGCTTAGAGGACATCAAAAAGCAAAAAAAAAGTTTTACACCACAGTGAGTATAATGCAGCCTTGAATTAAAACCAGACTTTGAATGGCTGTTAGATTCATATATGTACATTCTTATAAGTCTCCAAAGGGCGGTACGCTTTGCGGAGCTCACGTGTGTGATGTGCACGCATAGTGCGACCCCAATGCTTGATACGACCGAACGGAGACAGTCTAACATCTCCATTGATAATAATGACAGACGCAAAGTAATGTAATGACCGTGCATCTGAGGAATTGTGGTGAATGTTTAATAATAAATTGCAATACTACAATGATTCTATGATTTTAAAACAATATCTATGTCCCTGTGCTCAGAATAAGTTAATTAAAGCGTCTTCAATCTTATAATGTTACCTAAACAAATGCTTCTCGAAAAAATATTGGTCTGGGAAGCCAATAGGCTGATGGAATAAAACTATTTGTTTTTATACATGGAGACGAAATGGAGGTTTTCTCATAAATACGTTTCCCACGTAATTGTAGATTATGCATTATTTATACTCTTTGGTTTTTTCGGTAAAGTCACGTAGGTAAAAAATAAAATAAATAAAAAATGAAAACAATTAAATTCAATTCCTTGTCACAGCCATTTCTTAGACACACTTGAACGGTTGTGCTTTCGCTACGTTGTCCCCACCTGAAGACGGACACTTGTGTTGCGCCCGAAACGTCGTGATTTAATTGAGTTGTTTTCACTATTTATTTATTTAACCTACGTGACTTTACCGACTAAACCAAAGAGTATGGATCCTTGCAGTCACTAAAACTTCAAATGTAGAAATATGCATTATTTATTGAAATTTCAAGAACTACGCATGATAGTTTAGCTGAGGATAATTGAATAAATGCGACAGAACACAAAGTACAACTTCTAAAGCTCCGAAATCTAAAAAAAAAAATACTAAATAACCCCCTGTTCCTGAAGACGACCGCTTGTGTTGCGATCGAAACGTCATAGTTTTTATTATTATTTTCTTTGAACCTATCTACGTGACTTTAACCGAAAGACCCAAGAATATGAAAAAAATAGTTTCTAGAATTCATTCATAACTTGGATTGGCACAGAGGTGGTGAATAATTTTATGCCTACTAACTTGGTTGGTTTACAAAGAGATACAAATAATAACTAAACAACATAATTAAGTTATTATCAATTCTAGTTAGATATCTTTATTTAAAATGTATTTTAAAAATGTGTATGCGGAAGTAGTTTGGATAACCAGAGTTAGCAACTCCGCACGTTCTTCCTGAGACATTATGAATCGGTATATCATTAATATACAACTCACTTTTTAGTGTTTCATAAATATATTTGAAACGACAAAAAAAAACACTCGGAACCTCTCGTACGTTTTCTTCAGTAGCTTCTCAGGGACCCTGAGGAGTGTTTGCTAAGCAATGCGGATGTTCGTTTAGTGTTATTTTATTTACGGAGCCCATTGCTCATTGCGGGACAGCTGAAGGGTAATTAGGCAGAGAGAACCTCCCCCGCTGCTCGCATGGAAATGCATGGCGGGTTCTGGCCAGAATCCAGCAGGGCCATCAGCGAGCACACACACACACATCTGGAATCCTTGCCATGCCGCGTATTGGAACACCTTGACTTCCCCCGCCGAGTTATGAACGCGGCCTTTCAGTGGGAGCAAAATGTTGGCTCAAAATGTTCAAATCGCAGTATGGACGGGACCCAAGGTGTTTTTTTTTCTCCTCCCAAATCGCAGGTCTCGTGAGCCACCGTGATATGCATGCCTCTGCATGTTTACCAACATCCTCTCTGTCCAAATACAAATTAAGTCGCACTGGCACCCCACGTGCCAAATTGCTCAAACGTGTGTCAGGTGGCATAGAGAGTGCTGAATCAAATTAACTATAACTCGCGCTGCCCCACGCATTTGCGTGGCATCCAACTGAAGTGAATTCCAAGCGATGTGAATTTTTTTTTGCTATTCACTCGCTGGCCAACTTTAAATCGACAATAATGACATAATAACATCATTTAGCAGTAATAATATAAGATATCAACACCAGCCCTTGAACCAGTCCAGAGCCCGCATTGGTCACTGTGATTGGTGGCTGCCACCATGCCGCCAGGTTAACAGCTGATTAGTATCAGCTTGATTTCAATCTATGTTTTGTGGGATGTGTTAGCAATGCGATGCATGCAGTATGTAAGAACTCTGTATTTATATTGAAAAGATCGGTAAACTTGGTGAACCATGGTGGTTGATGAGGGGTTGGCATTTGGAAAACTCTGGTTTATGCAAACACACTTGCTGTCACTGCAATGTTTTTGTGAGCCAACTTAATATTGGCTAAGAAAATCACATAGTGTAACAAGTCAAGTTTACTTTCTTTCATTTAGTTTTAAATACTTGCCATTCATTGCTATTAAGTGTTGTGTATTAGCATTATTTTACATAGGCGGTATTCTTTAAATTTGAGTTATAACGAAACCCAACTAATTTCTGCATCCAGCGCTACGTATTGGAATGCCATTCATCTGTTTTGTCCGCTGAATTATATTCTCGGCCCACATTAACACTCAATTAGCGAGTATGAGGCAGTGTTACCTTAAACGGTTCTGAAGCCGCCAAGTTTAAATGGGTTCCCTCTGCAGTGAAGCGTCGTGTATCGTCTCTCAGCTGGCACGGCCGTTGGCTTCTTGCGCCTCGTCGCGGTTTAAACAGCTGTTGGCTCGCGTGGTCCGTCAGTAACCGCGGTGCCTAAGAATTGTTCCAAACCAAATGAGAGCAAGTTTTGTTGCCATTCAGGAACCCGTCAAGCAAGATACTCCGAAATATATACCTTGACTTAGTGAACAGCCAGAGCTGTGCCCAACAATTGGCGTTACTTTTTAAAAACTTAATTTATGGCTGAATTAACTATATTTCCTGACCGATAATGAGGGAAAAAACTACCCCACACATATTACACGTGTATCTTTGTGTACCTGGTTTTGAAAATCATTCACCTTGTTTTATACTTTAGTTGTTTCTTTTGTTCTTGAACATGAATGCTGATGTGATGTTAACGCGCCAGCTGAAGGGATAATTGGTCTTGTATATCATGCAGTTCACTGTGACCGTGAGCTCCATTCCAATATGAATAGAGAGAGCCAAGCCATTCACTGCACTCGTTTCCTGAATCAGGAGTGCGCACCCTTCAACGCACTCGCATGTCCACTTCTTCCCATCAGCTATCACGGACGTCCCACTCCCGGCGTGTTTATACTGTGATTGAATCGAGCACATCATCGCATAATGGCTCGAACCATTGCATGAATTGAACAAGAAAAGGTCTTCCCGACAATTTTATTTTTTTTCCATTTGGCTGGGGGGGCCCTAACATAGCATCTCGGCCACTACAAACAGACTCCATAACAATCCAGTTTGTCAGGCCAAGTGAAGTACAAGAGAGAGCTAACCTAACCAAATCCATCTGCGCGAGCGTCAAGAGCGGCACGCGTAGTGTTTCATCCCGTCGAGACAGCTCGCGTAATCCGGGGATGTGCTGGCTTGCTGCACGCATATGTGGGAATGTACTCGCGCACGTGTGTACTTGTTTACGGTTTGTGTACTCCGCTGTGAACCTGGTTACCCGAGTTCAATTCCTGGCCTCAGCTAACATCAGTGAAGAGTGGTATCTGAACCGGTACTGGGGCCCCCTTCCCCCTAGGTCGCTACGAACCTCAAAAGAGTGTCTGGTGCGGTGTGTTAAACATCATCGCTGGGGGAGACAAAGGCGCCCGGGTGTGACACTGCCTCGTTCACCGTGCGTCAATAGGCACTCGCTTAGCAGCACTTGCGCCGACTGTCTGTTCAAGGCTTTGTGGGGGGGATCTTTGTCCCTGTGCACTTGTGTCAGGACACCATGAGACAGAAGGATGACCGGATCGAGGAGCTGGAGGAGGCGCTGAGGGAGAGCGTGCAGATCACGGCCGAGCGGGAGATGGTGCTGGCACAGGAGGAGTCAGCGCGCGCTGCCTTTGAGAAGCAGGTCCTCTCCCACACGGCCCACACCTCCACCACCATGCATCCCATCATCTCCTCTGGCTCTCTACTCTCTCCTATCTGCCTGCCTGGCCTGCATGTCTGTCGGTTCATCTGCTTTTTGCTGTGATTGGGGTCCCATAGTTTTTATGGGGTGCTTTTGACGATGACATCAGCTAATCCAGCAGCATTTGTTTAACTGGTTTGCATCTCCTGATGAAACCCAGAATACCAAAATTGGTCCAGAGTCTGCTTGCTTAAGCAAGTGGTGCTGGATAAATTTGTTAGTGGTCTAAAAAAACAAAAGGCAGATGGACAATATACAGGGTGTTTCAAAAAGATAGACCCAATTTCAAAGCAGTATATTTCACGATAGCAACATGTTACAATTACACAAAAAGTTACTAACGGTTTAATGAGTTATCAAGTTTTACCAACCATTTTATAAATGCTCTATGTGCCCTCCACCTGCTGTACGGACAACATCGAGACGATAGTTGAATTTGTCCCAAACGCCTCTCAAAGTGTCTTCTTGCACTGAAGTCACCGCTGCCATGATTCTGTTTTTGAGGTCATCCAGATTAGTCGCTAATGGTGGCACAATAACACGGTCTTTTTGGCCAAGCTTGCTCTGACATTGGCGGATCAATGCCAAAACGCCGTTGAAACGCACGCTGCACTGCAATTACGGATTCAGTCTTGCTGAACTGCAGAACGCAAAACGCCCCTTGTGTGTTGCGGGGTCACCATCTCGCGAATGACTGAGGCTAGGGGCTATTTGTGCACTGGGAGAGGCATCTAGCGGTAATCATTTGAAACTCTATGCCCCGCCCTTTCAAGTGGTAAGAGTTTAAATCATGGGCGGTTTGTGATTGCAGAGATATAGCGATTTCAAATTTGGTCCATCTTTTTTAAACACCCTGTATATATGTGGAGACACATAACCTCCAGATTGATACATTTATAGATACCCCATTATATCAGATTGATGAGAAAATAAAATTGTATTTCATGGCCACCTTCTGTCCCGCGACCAATCGGAGGAATCCAAATTTTATTCGTTCAGCCCTCTCCACTGTAAGATTTGGAGCCGTCGCTTCTGCAATTTTCAATCGCCGTTTGAGTATAAATTTAAGAGGATCATTATAAATGTGTCTGTAAATGGATCACCCTGTATATTGCCCCATTCAAAATACATTGTTAAATGTCTCGCACTGAAAAAAATTATTGATGCCTCAATTGGCTCACATCCATTGATAAATAATGGAACCTGCCTGCCTGTATTGTCCTGGAGGTAAGTGTGTTTATTGTTCATTGAAGTAGTCTTTGGGTAAATTGTTTGCTGTAGATATTAATAAGTGTACGGTGCACACGTGAAAGTTCATGTAGATGTGAACCTGTGAATTATAAAGATTGACAAGTGTTTTGTAAAAAGTTAGCGAGATGTGATGGAAAATTTTACCAATGCATTTTTATTTTACTTTCTGGGTCGCCAAGGCTCCTCTGGGTGTGGCTTTGCGACAGTCCGTGTCACTGCAAATTTCTTGGCAATGCTGCCGCTCCATTTACAATGTAGAAGCATAACAAAACTCGACACATTTGCCAATAACACTGGCCTTAAAAGGATATATGTATGACGGGCAACGTTTTGGGCAACGGCCCTTTCTTCCTTCCACAAAATGTGCTTTTTATTTAACGTGTTACTGCAAGATAGTTTTATTCTTTGGGTCTTTCGGTAAAGTCATGTAGATAGGTTGAAAAGAAAATAACAAAAACTGATTTGAGTTTTTCTGCCGCATTCCTCCCGATTTTGTGCGGCGCAAACATCGTGCAGGTGGCATAGTCAGGGCACGCACGCTCTCTTGCCGTCTCGTCAAGAACGTCAGACGTTTGCTTTTCTTAGAAACGGTTACGCAAAACGTCGACCGTGCTGCGGCCTTGTGCACCTTGGACCCGCGAGGAAATTGATCACAGCGCACAATGGGACCCGAATTCATCTTTCTCGATGTCTGAAAGCATTCTTGTCCTCACGGCTGTCTTGACACTTAAATAACGCCAACGGCGGACGCATCAAACGGTTGGGAATATTGAGCGGGCGTGATTTAACACCAACGCTTAGAAGAGAGCACCCCTCAGTATGTGTGCCGCCTGCTGTTGTGCGGGTCGTGCCGAGGAGCGTGCTGTCCCTTGCATTCGTGAACTCGCCAAAAGCCACAGTTTGGCTTGGCGCCTTGCGTGGAGCATGACAAGGGGGGAAAGAATGCACATTGAGGCTATTATAGACCAGTGTTGTTCAATATATCCTCCCTCCAAGGAAAACGGCAGTGTTACTTAATCCCGAGTATCTGTTCAGAGGAGTAACACCTTTGACTCTGGCTGTTACCGGTCTTTTCAGGCCATTCTGTGCCTAAGCCTATTGCATTTCAAAAGGGATATTTAGCACTTATTTCCTGGTATAAGGTTTGTTGTCCCAAACAATTCTGTGCCAGCAGCGATCCTAAGATCTGTCCATATTGGGTGTCAGAAAGGACCTCTCTCAGGTTCATTCCTGACAGCTGGTTAGCCTTTAACTCAAGCTGTTTTCTTTACAAACAGTTTCCAGCATTTTGCTTGAGGTGTGCACCCTTCGAGGTGAAGGGGCCTCCGTAGTGGTAAACTTACTCGCTGGCTTTTTGGCTTCTAAAGCAAAAAAGAATCCATGCCCTTATACTACTATTAGGAAATAAAACCAATTGACGAATTGGCAGACGAGACTCTTCTGTTTAAACTTGACTTGCAACCCTCAAGCTGTTTTCAGAAAAATGTGAACGAATCACAAAGGTTGTATTTAATAGTAATGTTGTTGTCCTCCGATTTCCATTGCGTTGACAGTTAATAAAAAAAAGTCCTGAAGTTTTATAATTTCATGCCTTCGAGCTTGTTGTGCCCTCTGTTCAGTGGACGCAATCGAGAAACATCCGACTGGGATTAAGCTGATAATCTTTCACTCTGGAAAGCGAATTGCCAGTCGCATAGTGATAATCGTCAGTGCAATAACTACTAAACATTATTAAGTCAAATTTAAAACTTCCCTGTGGGGGCGATGGGTCACACTTGCGTCCCCATAGGGCCATGTAAGCGTTGTGCTTGCAAATATGTAACGTTATACTCTTATATCCCACAGCGCATCAATCCTTCAATATGTGCCAAGGCCGATTTCTTGCCAACATGTTAAACCTTTTGATGTCGCTCATCGGTGTACAATTTCAAATATTACCTTGCCATCGGTAAGCTAAAATGTATAGGTTATTAAGCAATAATCAGCAACACCTTTGCAAACATTTGTATTTCCACAGGATACATGGCATTGCAATGCCTGGGGGTAAAGTGTTTCATTGTGTGTTTCCTCTGAAGAAGAAGCTGAACAAACATTTAATTTATTTCCCTGCCCATTGGCTACGCTGAGTTATGTTGTCGGAAATAGTTCAATATACATCAATTTTACAAAACGACCGAAGAGGAAACCTGTATTTTAGAAACACATGGATGCTGCACATTTTACAATAATTCATCTTCTTGATTCTTTCGGTAAAGTCACATAGAAGTGAAGTAATAAAATAATAAAAATAAAAGATAATAAAATCAAATATGTTTTATTTTTATTATTTCATTATTTCCCTTCTACGTGACTTTACCGAAAGAACCAAGAAGATGAATCCCTGCAGTCACGAAAGCTTTAAATCGAAATAATTCATCTTTTATGAAAATAAGAAGAAAAACTTAATTCCATTCACGTAGTTGCAATGTTTTATACTCTGAAAACGTGTGACAATGGGTATATTTTGAATATGCTCGTCCAACGGCTCGAGTTAAGACCTCCGTTGCAACCGAATTCAATGTTGCCATTGATATTGATACATGGTGTGGCATTTTAGGTAACAGTGCGTGACATATTGAGAACTATTGCTTTCCTATATTGTGTGGTTAAAAAACGTTTTATTCGCGCATATATTTTTACGGCAAATATATTATTAATGCTGCAAGAGCAAAGCAGATTCATTTTTCATCCTTGTTCTACGAGTGAAAGGGCCTAAAATTTTCTTGGACATGTGTGGCGACCATTTTTCTGGGTATCTTGTTCTTTTTATAGAGAGAACGTTGGCAACCTTCCAACCCCTCGTTATAATGTAATGCCTGCGCAGCGAACACACGAGAGTAGGTGGAAGGTGATCACACAGTTTGACGTGCGTTATTTTAGAAGTGGCTGCATTTCTTCGCCCCGTTCAGCAAACTTTACCCATGCTTAAGGAGCGAGAGCATTGGGACAGTTTTAAAACTCTGCCTGGTTTCAGCCTGGAAAACATAATTACCCGTCACTAACGACAATAGTGTAATCCTTGCACAGCGATGGCCTGGCTCTGTTTCAGTCGGGTGTTATGTTTCATGTTTAACTGTGGATTTTCCCTGCCATGAGATTGAGAGAGAGGGAAAAAAAGATGAGCAAAGCACACGTTTAGGAAAGATTACACGAACCAGGCCTGTCTGTGCTAAGAGGCCTGCGATGCAGCTGATGGCGCAGAAGCCCGTTACGGTTATTGGCTGGGGAAAAATGAGGATAGTAAAGTCACCCCGGCCTGAGAGTACGCGGGAATTACAAAAACGAAGGGCCCTTTTGGTTTGCTTAGTGTAACCTGCAACTATGCGAAGTTGGCCAAAACTAGCACCGGACACATCCGCTGAGAAAGCCAAACTTGTTATTTTTTTGTTGCTTTTTCACCGCCTCAAGTTGTGTTATTGCTGAAATTGCACGTTTAATTAAACAGAGAAGATGTATGTTTTGCGGCCAGGAAAAACATTTTTTGTTGCAGTTTTCGCCGTATTTGATGAGCAACACACACTGGGAGGCGTTTCCCAGGACCCGGCGCGTTCGCTGCATTGTGAACCCGAGGGGAGATAAAAAAAAAAGTGCACAAACTTTGCATGAAAAGTAAACTGCGTACCACTCTGCAATTGTAGCCCTACCCATAATGCATCATTATTACTGGCAGCTGCCATAAGGCGGCAAGTCGCGGCGCCCGTGATTGACGTGTTCTGCTCCGCGGCATCACATGGGCCTTTTGTGTTGGCATGGAAAAAAACTTGCGCTAGAATGAAAATCAGTCAGCACCCAGTCCTGTTGCTTGAAACATTGACTTCTACAGTATATACACAGCTTGTAACTTGTGTTTTTTCTTTTAAAAATGTTGAATTTGAGAAACAGCAGCAAATGGCGCACCTGTGCGAAATGTAAAAAAAAATCGACTCTGCGTGCGTTTCGGCCGCACGCTGCGCTGGGCTTTTCAAGTTTTACGTCTGATTTGGGTTCGTTCTGTTCGCAACTGTGACTTTCCATATGTCAAGATGCAGCACTGCATGTTAAAAGCGCACCACGATTTCCATCACAGTTTGAAAAGTGCCGTATATTAATGGGGGTGCTATGAATCTGATATCAAAAGAATTTGGAGGCCCACAACTGCAAAGGCAACAGCTGAGAAAAGGAAGCAATGTCAGGAAAATGGGGGGGGGGGGGGGGGGGCCTTTGCAGAGTCGTGCAAAGTTACAGGCTGACCAAAAGTTCCACATCACAAATAACAAGCTATGAGCCTGGTCACCTGAGTTCTATTCCTGGCCATGGTTATTGTCAGTGGCAAGTGATATCTGAACTCCCGCCCACCCCTGCCCACCAAACCCACACTGGCCCCCAGTGTGGTGCAGTACACTTGTCAGTGCGGGTTGGTGAAGGCAGATGTGGGAACATAGAATCACTGTCCAATAATGCACGTATTTACACTCCCCTCTTTTGTCCCCACAATGTAGTAGAACCATGCTGATGAGCCATAGAGGTTGGAATTGAATCCGTCAATGCGTTTATTTCTCATCGGAAAGCCATCACTCTGTTTACGATTGCTAAAGAATGCACGATGGTAAGTGCACTTTGCTTTTCACACTTTTATACGTTCAATTCCCGGCTACGGCTCACATCTGCGATATCTGGACCAGTTCCGAGCCTCTTCCCACCTTGACAAAACCGCACTGACCAGCGTAGTGAAGTATGGTTAAGCAACCCCCCCCTCCATGGCAGACACACATGAAGGCGATCGAAACATTTGCAGCCCACATTCTACGGGGATTGTGCTACAACGCCTTCTGTGTTAGGCCACTGACTTTCCGATCCCCACTTGTGTACACAAAGCAAGCCCGGCTCAGCAGAGATGCAATTCTTTGGTTAGACAGCAAAGTGTATTCCCATAGACCGTACAGGGTGGTCCACGTGTTACAGATTCGTAGGATGGACAATACATTTTCAGGATGCTTTATATTAAACAGTACATTTCGGCCATCCGTTTCATAGGTTGAGCACACATTGCTTATTTCTACTCGTCCATAGTATTTCGGGAGTTCCATAGTGTCAGTGTTTTGTTTATTTTTCGTTTTATTATTCACGCACTATTAATCTGTTTCCGCTTTCCACATTCTACGTCATGTGCCGGGATGCCAGGTGTGCCGCATTAACTTGCCGAGCGTTTCTCCTGTCACTAAACACGAGGTCGCAGAGTCAGGCTTTTGTTCTTCTGTTTGCAGTTTAGCATGTCCACGTGTAAAATGCACTGAATTGAACTCAAATTATCTGATCATGGACTTAACCAGATGTTTGAACTCGCGTTTTTTGGAGAGGAAAAAACGAACACGCACATGCGCCGCATACGGACGCGCGCATACGCACAGAGAATACACACCCCTAATTATTACACTTGCAGGGCTATTAGTTGTTGTAAGCAAAAAATGTTTGTTATCGCACACTTGAGATCTCGAAAAATGTGCGAGGTGGGAACTTTCGCGAATTTTGGCATCGGAAGAATTTGAACTCGCGCGGAGCCCATTTCCATGTGTAGCGGTGGCGTGCTCCGACTGCTCGCGATGACGTGTGTGTGGGTCTGCTACAGCATACAATGGACTACGCGCGCGCGATGCAGCTTGCACGAAACGCATGCAGCTCGCGTGCATTTAGTAAAATTGCTAGTCACGGCGATGCCCATCAAATGGCTGTATAAAAGATGTAAAACGTATTCCATAATGGGTGTAAAATATTTGCGAATGCACGAAATGGGAGATATCGTGCAGACAATCGCGTTATATGTAATGATTCACCTTCATAAATATGTAAAGGGCTAAACCTGCATTTAAACTATAACTAAAAATGAAAAAGTGTATGTCTAAAGGAATTTTGAGGACATTTAGGCGATGTCTGATACGAGTATATAGGTTACGATTAACCCCCAGAGCTATTTGATGATTTGTCACATTAGGATTCAAGAATATATTTTTTTTCTCTCGTTTTTACCATCCCGGTTCGATTGCTTCCTGTTTTTTCACTGTTAGCTAAATGTAATATTATCATTACATGTGCATATAATTTCCATAAATGACTAATAACCAATTATAACTTCCCCAATTTGATGTGTGTGTGTGTGTCTTCAGAGTGACGGCCTATTCGAATGAATAGAAATGTAATTACTTGAATAGGTACAGACCTGCAGTGCCCTGTCATAGGCTTGTAATAATGCACACTGTGGCCTTCTTCTTGTGTGCGTCCCACCGTGCTCCCTATAGCTTCAGGACACAGGCGGGGTACTGGAGAAGACCAGGCAAGAGCTGGATTCCACCAAAGCAAAGCTGAGCTCCATGCAGCAGTCTCTGGCCGAGAAGGAGGCTCACCTCACGAACCTACGTGCCGAGCGCAGGAGGCAGCTGGAGGAGGTCCTGGAGATGAAGTGAGTCACCCTGCACCCTTCCCAGGCTTTGCTGACAACATCCCTCACTTGTAACCTATGTTTCCACTGTGCAGGCAAGCCGTGCTGGGGCCATGCCAAGCCAGCCCGGCACGGCTCGAGAGACACCAGTTTTTTCCACTGCAGAACCGAGCCGTGTGACGTCAGAGTGCTGCTGACGCATGTAGATGTGGTGATGCCTTGTTTGAATTGTACTGACGTCACACACGATGAACACATAATAGTCCTTTCCCCTGGCCCTGCTTGGCCATGAGCCAGATTCAGACATTTTTTGAGGCCAGATTATTACAATCTGGTTCTGGCTCAGCTCTGGAATTATCCAGTGAAAAAAACCACCCATGCCGTGAAGGTCTCGCATTGGCTTGGCTCAGATGTGCCAGTGGAAGGAGTATTAACTTACCTTTTCTTATTCAGTGTTAGGGCCACTGGGATTTATTGCAGAAATTACTAGCCCGAGCATTAGCAGTGATGCTAACCATGATTTTTTTTCTGTTTATTGCTTCCCCATGACATTCAAGTCGGTGGCATTGAAAGAGATGATAAAAATTCCATTTGGATTTTTTGTCGCGAATCAATGCTGTCAGAATAACCCTGGAAGATGAAATCAACTAACTATTTCTGAAGTCACTTCACGAAACCTCTTTGAACCACACTAAGGGCACACCTTTTATTCCTTTCAACGATTGTTGACTGCATTTCAATGGAACTGAATTTCTCTTTTCATTCTGAAAGCTGGAATAAGCCAAATTAAGTGAAATCCCCACATTTCATACGATGGTTTTTTTTCAGACAGTCATTCCAGTGGCTGCGAAGACCATCAACCTGCTACACTTTAGAACATGGTGTAATCTCAGGGCAGATTTTTTTCTACTCGAACCAAGGATCTCGACAGTGCCAGCTCGGCACGACCGCTTTAACTGCTCGGCCACCTCCCATTCCACGTAAATCACGAGCGTCACCAAAGCCCATTTATTTAAAAAAAGCAGCAATGAGGCTCTATGCACCGCACCATTAAGCGTGCGTCACAGATGTTTCTGATTCCCAACAAGCATGGTAGAATATGAATAAGCATGGTAGTGTTAATGTTCTCTGTAACCGCCCGAGTGGTGCAGATAGGACCATGCAAAATGGGGTGACCGAGCACAAATGCTTCGGCAAGCCGACGCTGGCATGGAGTTCGGGTCTTGTCTGATCGGTTGCTCACGTCGCATTGCGCCATAGCGATCACAGGGTACTGTTGGGTGGTCAGTCGGTTAAGCCTCGATCACTCGGTCTTCCTGGTTGTAAAGGATGAGAATCATTAGAATATTTTTAGTCAATTTTCAACAATTCTAGAGATATTGGTGGTGCAGTAGTTAGCGCTCTGGCCTTTAAATCCATCAGTGGGGAACGATATCTGAACTGGGGCATTGCGGGAGCGAGATGTTAACTACCTTACATTGCACCGTCGGTTTGAGTCCGACCCTCACACTTGTTTATTTGGTTTTTACATGTTTTTCCCGTGGTCGCGTGGATCTCTCTCTGGGTCCTCCGGTTTTTCCCCCCACATTTATGATCAACATGCGTTTAGAGTATTTGACTGCTGTAAATGTCCACGTGATCAGCCACTGTTGGGCTGTCATTTGTGATAGCCAGGTCACTTCTCAAAAAGAGCTATATAGCTCAGTGGGCCTTACCTAGTAAAATAAAATAAACATATCGATTTAAAGCTTTCGTGACTGCAGGGATTCATCTTCTTGGTTCTGTCGGTAAAGTCACGTAGAAGGGAAGTAATAAAATAATAAAAATAAAACATTATAAAATAATTCTCACAACGTTTCGGCCACAACGCAAGCAGCCGTCCTCAGGTGAAGACCAGGTCTGTCGGGGAGACATTCAGACGCTGTCTCGTGAGAATTATTTTATTATGTTTTATTTTTATTATTTTATTATTTCCCTTCTACGTGACTTTACCGAAAGAACCAAGAAGAAAAATAAAAATAGTTTTAGTTTAAACTGGTCTTGAGCCCCCCCACCTCACCACCTTACTTCCTTTACCAACCCGCACTGACCAGTGTGAAATATGGTCAAACAACACCCATGACTAACACAGCATGACCTGGTGTGGGGAAGCCTTTAAGCAACAGTGGATTGACAAAGGGTTGTAAATGATCATATTAGAATGATCAAATATTGAAAGGAATAAATCAGCTGAACACGTACAAAATATATTAGTAAATTGGGGTGTGTAATTAACATGCAACTATGTTATATTGCTTTAAAGTAAACATTTCTTGAAAATGTTGAAATTAAAATTTCCGTTAACATTCACTGTGCATAATGTGCACATCGTGCATATAGAATGCAAATATGCCTGTGAACAATCACATAATCTAATAGCCTGCATTTAGAGCACCAAATTCCCACTAGCCCACGGCGTGCTTACCAGTGGGTTTTCCCTGCACTCATTTAAGTGCTCGGTAATTCATACGGTTAGTATAAAAACGTGAAATCTAACACAGCGATTTGAATACTTTTTTTGTATTTACCCCCCCCCCCCCCCTCTAGAAATTGTTACAGGCTTCCTTCTCTCTTGCCCCAGCCACGTCCAGCTCCCACTCTTAACCCCTCCCGGGCAAAAAAAACCCACACTGAACAAACCCAAAGCCCCACTGAGCAAACGAGCAGCTTTGCGTGGGCGTCACGCCAACGTTCACTCCGCTGTCACTTTCTAAACAAAGGAAGAGTCAGTCCGTACCCTCTCCCCCTCAACTACTCCGCCGCTTGAGCCCCAGCTGTGAGTTGATTCCGACGCAGCTTGACTCGGGGGATGGGGGGGGGGTTACCATTACTCGGGGGTTACCGTGACGTGGCGGCGAGCTTTAGCCCTGCTCCGAGCCCTTCGCAAGACCACCACCACCGCCACCCCCCCCACGCACCTCCTCCCCCCCCCCCGTCCCCTACGGTATTGCTGGCAACTTGAAAAGGTCAGCAATGGAGTTGAAAGGGCCTGCGCTGCTCCTGCTCGACAGCACGCTGCCTCGCTTCGAGGGCAACCTGCGCTGGCCGACCGTGTTTCATAATCAGAATTTTTATTTGGACTGGAAGAATTTGATGAGCCGATTCAGCTCCTTCTTCGCAGATATCCAGTAGGGGCAGGTCAGAACGTTACAACTACAAACAATGCAAAAACCGATTGAGAAGTGCAAAGTACAGGAAAGCTGAGCAAATCACAAAATAAAAATGAGTAAAGTATACGAGTACAAATTGCATAAGTACATCATGTCCTGCTGATATCTCAACATCAAATGCAATCTTGGGCAAGGCAGCAAAACAAAAACAGTCCCAGACCACACCAAGACAACACACAATCCCTCGATAAAATTGCACATTAAAATTGAACTATTGTTTTCCATGGGTCGTGTCTGACTGCGGCGAGCGCGTTATTGACGCAGTGCTATTGTGTGCATTCCTAGAAAGGGGAATGTGCCATTTTTTTGGGGGTGGGGGGGATGTGGGAGAGGTTTCTTCTCCCTGGCCTCCGATTGTAAAATGAGCACATTGTCTAAACGTGTGCAGGTGCTCTTCATACCTCCCTCTCCACCTTTTGACTTTGTTAATCAAACCTTTCAGTCAAGTGCGCTCTCAAAGTGAAACAACGTAGGGCATTCTCAAAAGTGGCTGTTTGGCATTTCGCACCAGAGCAAAAACTGCTCGGTCAAAACTGTCATTCTTTAATAATAATAATAATCATTGAAAAAAATGGGAAAGCCTCACTTGAGCCTTAAACTCTTCGTCAGGGGGCTCCTGCATTGTGATGTTGACCAGTACATTTGTAAATGTTTGACATGTCGGAAGGAAATTAGAGTACCTGGTGAAAACCCACACATTGGAGGTATAACACTCAGCACTGGCATCTCCTGGCCACCTTGCAGCCCCCACTCCTCCAACACCTTGAAAATGTAGAAATGACCTGCAGTTACCCAATTGTGATTAAACTTGGCAACATGGCCCCCAACTGTGAAATTACTGGTGACTCTGCCTGTGAAACATAGCACCTTTGTGATGGCCTTGTGTGATAAAAATGAATATTCCTGTTATTATTACTCCCTGGCAAGGTCGGATGGCCACCCATCCAAGTACTAACCAGGGTCATCAACCCTGTCTAAGCATCAGAGGTCAGATGGGATCAGGCACATTCATGGTGATTTGCCAAAGTTTTAGGATAAATGGCTTCAACATACAATGTTTGTGAGGTTTAATCTCCTTAGAAGTACCGAAACTGTTGGGTTATCTCGTTGTGATTGCAGCTGTGCTATGATTGCAGCTTGAAGCGCTACTAGCCATGCGGCATGTTAACCTTAAAGGTTTTGGTGACTGTAATGTCCTTAGCAGAGGATGTAACTGAAGTAATTTGATAATCTCAGATGGGTATATAATACATCATCGTAACATGTGGTACTGCATTTCTTTTTTTTTAGCATTACGTCAGTCATCGCTGAGCAATAACATTATCCATACATGTGTGTTTTTATAACGCAACTCCTTTGTCATTCTTATAAAAGTGACAGCTGTCTTGAAGGCACCATTATTCACAATCCGTAGATTCTGCTACCATAAAAAATAGGAACAAATGACCCATACATAAAGGGCCTTCCCATGGGATGACTATCAATGCAGAAAGGTCAGTAACTAATTCAGTAATAGATATGTGCTCATGATACCTCACACTAGCAGGATTTCCAAAGGCAGAGTATAGACAATGACGAATGTTGTTTCCAGTGACAATTATTACCAAGCAAAAAAGACAATGATCTGTAATTTATGAATTAAAAACAAACACTCACTATGGTCATACTTAACCATTACGTATTGCAGAAAAAAATTATAACAAGCTTACATTTAAAGTAATGGGCCCTCCTCTTCAGTTGTCAGAGACATAAACAATCTGTTACGGGTTTTTTTGTGGTGGCTTGGAGAGGCCTTTATCCAGCAGTGAACTC